GTTTCTCTTCACTCTCCTTGGTGGTAAAGGTACATCAACACATGTTTTACACCTCAGCTCGTCAGCTTTTATGAGAGCAATCAGCAGTGCGTGCACAAAGACTCCTTGGAGACTCCTGTTGGCAAGCCAAGGAAAAAGGACATAAAATGGAGAGAAATGCCCAGTGGCTTGCATTTCCTTCAGGCTTTTATTGTTGTATTAAAGGGGCAATATGTAGTTTTTTTTATTAAATCACTTATCTGTTAATCACTTTTTAAATATCTATTTGTGAATGGATTGTATCTGGGCCGGGTTTTCTTAGCTACATGTTCTGAACTCTGAATACTGCAATACACACAGCAACAACACCGCAGCTAATGAAATGGCGTCTGCCAAAAAAACAATCGGCTCCCGGCACAACACAGACTCCAACATAAACTGACAAACACAAGATGTTTTATGGGCTGAAGCCCGTCAGGCCAAATAAGAATCAGATCGGCGTCTGAGCAAAAACATGCGTCAACATCAGAAAGGTGTTGGAGTCATGGAGAGACCTCAAATACACAAACCGACCCAGAATTGGCTTTCATCCTTCACTTTCTATTGTTCACTTTCTATTGTGATAGTTGTTGTAACACCTCTTGTGAGAAGGATTCAGGGTCCAGCCTGGACACCTCTTCCTCTACTGAGAAGGAAACTTTGATATGTAGTGGCAGAAACTTGTTTCCATGAGAGGAGATCTCTCTCTCTCTCTCTCTCTCATTGCCATGAATGTTTAGGAGCAGGTTTGCAGTCTTTCTTCTATTGCTACTGGGGAATGAAGTTAGTTCAATATAAACTAGGCCTATACTGTGTATATATATATATATATATATATATATATATATATACTATAACTAACTATAAAATATAAAAAATTTAAAAGTAGCTGAGATGTAAATAAGCTACTTTTGCCACGTTTCTGTAGCTTAGCTTGCTACGTTAGGTCGGCTGTGACTCAGGAGATAGAGCGGGTTGCCCATTAATTTGGAAGGTCGGTGGTTCAATCCTCGGCTCCTCCAGACTGCATGTCGAAGTGTCCTTGGGCAAGATACTGAGCCCCAAATTGCCTCTGGCGGCTGAATGTGTGTGAATGGTGAATGCAGATGTAGTGTAAAAGTGCTTTGAGTGGTCGAAAAGACTAGAAAGGCGCTATACAAGTACGGAGCATTTACATTTCACTGGGGGGAGCTTCTGTGTAGTGAAACTTCATTTAATGTAGAGTAGCTAGTAGCTTGGCTCACTACATTTTCCAAGTAGCTTGCCCAACACTGTTGCTAACGGTATCCAGCGCAAAATACTATAGTAGTAGTATGGTATAGTTATAGTATAGTTTTTTTTAGATTAGAAAGCTTTATTAATCTCCATTGCCATCAGATCACACACAGGACAAGAAATAAAAACAATAGACCCATTAAAAGCCTTCTAAAGCCTGATTAGAGCGGACGGTTTACCACAAATATTCATAAAAAATAATATAAATATTAATTAAAAATTTAATTTCTGTTGGGATAAAAGACCATCTGAGCTGTAAGTATTTTCCCGCATACTGTCAGACTAGGATTGTGTATGCTTATGAAGGTTCTGCAGTCATACTCAAGTGTCAAGTCTAGAATTTTCTATAAACTTGAAGTTGACTGACATCAGAACAAATGGTCAGACATTAACAGACTACAGGTTAAGTTAGTGAAATAAATGTTTGTCATAATGAGGCCAACAGGTAGTGTGGTGAATTCTTGCACTATGTTCAGAGGTGTTAATTTCAGATACCAAACAACTCAGGTCATGAGCCGCCCTTTAAAAATGCCCAGAAAGCTTAGCCCATGCGGTTGAACATCTTAAACAGATGTCTTCATGTAGAAAGCATCTAGCGTGAAAGCATCTGCAGAGGATAATAACATGTTCCTACTACAGCTTTTATTAAAGAAAAGCAAGTCATTTCGAGAAATATTTTCTTTGTGAGCGCAGAAAAGTGCAGGGGATATTTGCTTTGGTCCATTTAAAACACACAACATATGAGAAAGAGAGTGAGCGAATAATCTCCAAGTCTAACACTGTTTCTAATGCCAATACCAAAAAAGGCAACAGAACAAGCATATTTTTATTACCCTTGCAAAATTACTTCATACTTCATACCACTTTGTTCAATGTTATTTTAAACACAAAAAGATATAATGATATTTTCAGATTCAAGGACACAACTTTTTATTTGCTTTTCTCATTTCACTGCCTGTCTGTTCTCAGCGTTCTTTCTAACACCTGCATACCTGAGGTGTCCCATCCCCCACTAAGCACAGAGGAACTGTTATCCTGGTTTAATTACACCAGCTCTACTTAAAGTAATATAGCCCAAATCCCAAACTTGGCTAAATGACCTCACCAGAAACTTAAGGAGGAACTGCAAGAAAGCAGAGTGCAGGTGAAAACAAAATAAATTAGAAATTTAAGGTGAAATACTAAGAAACTACTATGAACATGCAATACAAGCCTCGAGGAAGAAACATCTCTCTGACCTCATTACTAAGAACCACCTCAATTCTAAGTTCTTTTCTACATGGCCCCCTTCTAATCTCAGATTAGTTGGATCGCTTTCAGAGTGACTTCTCAAGGTTCTTTTCCAACAGTACTTCTCATGAAATCCAACATATCAACCCAAACCCATGCCTAAACTGTCCTGGATTTAGGACAAACCCATCTCTCTAGCTTCTCTCTGAGAGACAGTCTTGAAGATGAAGTTGACCACCTGCCCCCTTGATGTCATCATCTTCTTTACTCATGGAATCCACGATAAAAGGCCCAGCCTCCTTGCCATCATTGACAGCTCTTTGTCCTCTGGTTCTTTTACTCCATCCCCCTCCTTTCAATTTCAAAATAACGTTATGGACATTTGTTGGTCAAGTTTCAAGACCAGCCATAGCACAGAATCAGCTGTCGACTAAGGAAGCTGCGGCGTTTGCAACCTCATTGACCTCAGTGACGCCTTCAACACAGTGCAATGCTGGGTAATAAGGGTGCAGTACTGAATATCTTCTCTTCCTATCTTGCCAATTCAACTTTCTCAGTTAGCCAAGACCATTTCATCTTTGCTCCCGCAATCTCTCCAGTGGAGTCCCACAAGGGTCCATTCTCAGTCCCATCCTCTTCTTTATCTACTTGCTTCCCCTGGGTAGAATCTTACAGGAATATAACATCTCCTACGACTGCTACGCAGATGATACCCAGCTCTACATACCCAACTGCCCATCAGCAGAGATGGGGACTCGACTTAAGTCGCACACACAGTGACTTCAGACTCGACTTGAGACTCGTCCTCAAAAGACTTCAGCCTGGACTCAGACTTGAGGTGCGGGACTTGTGAACAATGTTTGTTTTTAGGAAACGTCTGATGAGCTTGCTGTTATTCCCCTCCCTGCGTTACCTATAACCTGCCTACGTAACACGTAGTATCAGCTGCGCACGTGAGAGAGGACAACAAACACCGGCAGCTGCTGAGCCATTCATCATAACTTTGGCTTTAAAACTTCATACAACAAGACCCAAACAAAGAAAATAATAGGTTAGTAACCTGAGGTTAGTAAACATGTTTAACTCAGCATTGGCCATCTAATGTTAGCTTGCTTCTGGCTTTAGCTACGACCTATGAGAGCTTCACTCGGACTATGTTATGAAAAGATGAATGAGCGTTTGTTTGCTTGCCAAACTTGTGGTGGTTGACTAATGTAATCATTTATTGTTGATGATGTAATGTTATAGTTTTATTTAGTTAACGTTACACTGGATTTGAGAGTCTTGGGAAGGTGTTGACTTACAGTAGTTTATAAGCGGTCAGTGATTGCATTGTATATTGCATGGTTGTGCTGCGTGAAAAACAAGTTTCAGGTTTATTGCTGATCATGTAACGTTACAGTTTTATTTAGTTAACGTTACATTGTTTTTGAGAGTCTGCAGGGGGTTTTGTCTTAGGCCCCATCCACACTACTGTATTTTCGTGTCAGACCTTTTGCTACATTTGCACCACCCGTCCAGATTAAAACAGCAAAAACGAAGGCATGAAACGGAGAAGTTTGAAAACACTGCCGACCCCGTTTTTCGTTTTGAATAGAGATCGTAATTCTTTGTGTCAATAGGGCCTTAGAGTAGTTAATAAGCTGTCACTAATAGGATTGCACATTACATGGTTGTGCTCTGTAAGTGAAAAACAGGTTAGTTAAAGAATCTCTTATAGCCGTGAAGTTTTATAAGCAGCCTGGATTGAATGCAGCAGGTGATACAACATTCATTATAGACTTGACTTGGACTCTAGCTCAAAGACTTGAGACTTGACTTGGACTCTTGCTCAAAGACTTATGAGCATCTCTACCCATGAGACAAAAACTGCCTCAGCAGGTGCCTTGAGGCCATCAAAAACGGCCTGGCACTCAATTTCGTGCAGCTCAACGATAATAAATCAGAGGCTGTGCTTCCTATTAAATTTGTGTCCACCTGAAGTTTGCCCTGCTGTCTGTTTTATTTAGTTGTTCTGTCATTGTTCTGGTTGTATTTGTGTTTTGCCACTTACGTTTTTACTATGTTTTATTATTTAAGTCATATTTTAATGTTCTTTGGCTTTTACCACTGTACATCATTTTATAACTTCAATATGTGCTGTATTAATAAACATGACTTGACTTATCTTGATGTATTTTGTCTCCAACCAATACATTCAAAACATAAAACCACTTCTTTTTTTTTAACAGAACAACCGCCAAACAAAGGTTAAGTCAAGACAAGTCTGGCTTATTTATATAGTCCCAAATCACAAGTTTGTCTCAGGGGCTCCAGATAAAGGTTCATTATCTACAACAGTAACTGCCTATGTTAGTGTAGCTGATAAAGACTGTTACTTTTCAACCCTGTTCTGCACCAGGAAGAACCCAATAATGCCTGTTGAGCACGTACAGCATGGAAGCAATTACTAAAACAAAATTAAATGCTTTACTTACCAGCTCATAGTTTGCCGCTGGAACACAAGATGAAGACACCTAAAAACAAAAAAAGAACTGGTCAGTCACATTGTTGCTTATTTGCAGTCATGTTATTTCAAGAACGGTACTGAATCCTGTAACACTCCTGCATTTATGGCATTTAGGTTAGGCTTTATGGCTTCATATCTTGAAAGTGCAACTAAAAGCTTTAACATGCCACCTGTGTTATATTCCATAGCCACATACAGATGCAAACCAGAATAGACGGGAAGGCTTCATTAGACGTAAGGATACACTGATCAATATTTTCACAATAACAATAAAGAAATGTTTTATGTAAAAAGGGGTCACTCGTAGTGGCAAACCCACAGAGAATTATTACCCCACTATGTAGTTACCTTCAACTCTAAGAAGCTGCGAAACAATTAAACAACTCACTACCTGTCTCTGTCTCTCTCTCTCTCTCTCCACTGTGTCCTCACGGACAAGTAGTATGCAACTAAGAGATTTCAGGTTGAAGAAAGGGAATTTGTGATCAGATGATAGAGAAGGTAGAGAAGAAAGAGAGCCACATGTTTAATTATGGCTTTTGTGGAGCTTTTTTGTTCACCGCAGCTCCGTCTGGCGGGGGAACAGCTGCTCTAGAGTGACCGACCTCAGTGTCCAGACTCCAGACCTGTATCGGATTTAGACCACATATGAAAGTAGCCCAAATTTGAACGGGAAAAGATCAGATTCCATGTGACTTGGCCTGTTCACACTGTCATAAAAAGATCAGATATGAGTCAGATATGAGCAAAATTTTTGGATTTGGGTCACATTGGCCTGCAGTCTGAACGTAGCCTTAGTGACATGTTTTACAGCCCAAACCTTTACTGTTTCAGTTTGGTCTCGCCATTCTCATCAGCTCCATTTCCAGGAGCAGCAGGCAGCTGTTATCAGTAAAACTCTGATAAACCTACTGTACTCTACCTGCTCAGCACTAAACAACAGACAGACAAAATTAGCGACTAGCTGGTGAACATAGTGCTATTATCAACTACATGTAAAAATAAGTGACTGTTTGCCATTATCAACTTTATAAGGGGGATATGTCAGTATTATTGTGCTGCCCCCAAATGGCCAAAAAACAATGAATGCAGCTTTAAACTAAGCTGTTTACTGTATGAAGCTGTTTACTGTTTAGTGTATTGTATGCAACATTTCCATCAGAAAGGACAGAATACTTAGAATTGGCAATGGGCAAGTATAACAACAACAATAATGCCTAGAGAACTCAGCAATGCTATCAGGTTTAAAGGACAAGGTAATGATGGGAGTGTTAGCACAGCAATAATCTGATTAAAAAACTTAATTGTTCATCTCTCTAATCTGATGCTGTAAAAAAAAAAAAAAAGTGGTATGTTTGCGTGAAGTATCAGCATAAGTCGGTCAGTGGTGGGATTGCGCCAACAGACCTCATGATCTGTCAAGTGCCCAAGCTAATCCGATTACCATCTGACAGTTTCCATGATGACTCTGTGAGTTTGGAGCAAGAGAATTAGGACTGAGGCTGATAAACAGGAAGAGTATAATGATAATGGCCTCAAACAGAAGATTTAAATGAAGTGCTCCCAGAAAAAGATGACCGCTTGATGAGGATGAAGACAAACAGGATGTCACCACTGATGCTTCCTTCCTGTGCATGTCTGTGTTCTGTCCCTCTGTTCCTGTTTCACCATCATTTTTCTAATGCTGCACATGTTTTTTTAAAAAATCCCTACAAACTTAATTTTCACCAATTACAGATGTACACAACCACGTCCTCTGTAGATAACAGCAAATGATAGAACGGGACAGCCTTATGATTCCACCAGACTTTTCACTTGTTTGTAGCCTCCATCCTTTTATAACTATCACAGAACTGTGTCTGTTTAAGTGTTGAAAGATTAGGCCTCTGGGTTATCCCAACTGTTGACCTCTAAAAGCACCTTTCATCTTAGCCACTGCTCTGCCACTCTCCTTATCCAAGACTAATTGTTTCATTGCATGAACACAACCATTCTGCTCTGTCGGGGTCTGCTCTGCGTTACTGTTGAGACAAGCACATTCCCCGTCTGCCCACAAAAATACATTTTTTCTTACATTAACACATAATATAAGAAAATGTTTTTGACAAGAACCCTTTAATTAGTTTCTGATCAGGATATGTACCGAGCAGGACGCTGTTTCTAAATTGGCATTAACATATTTTTGCCATCTCTGTACTGCAATGTTTTGTTACTTATCAGCCCACATACAGTGCACGCAGATATGAATATATATGCAATAAGCTATTATTGCCCTACACACTGGCCCAGCTAATTTATTGGTCAAGCTCTAATTCCAACCCCAATCAAGTAATTGTAGACTAACAAAGTCCCAAACAGCCAGTGGGGTTAAGACATTAATTAATTAATTGGATGGAAAATCTACTGTACTTTTGGGGTGTAGTATTTTGGACTACCCACCAGCAGTGGAACTAAATGGCCCACTGGATGACTGCCATTTCGATGTTAGGACGGCTGATTAGATTCACAAAGTTGAGGATATGTGAGTCACCTCGGGTCATTAAAGACTCTTAGTCTCTTTTATAGCTGTTATCCCATCTGAAATACAGGAACGTTAACTCTAAACAGGAAATGACCTTCATCAGCCTTTATCAGATTACATGTTTTAGTCCCTTTTAGCAGTAGAAGCAGCTGATGCACTGATATGAAAAGAGGCTATGCCTAAATTTAAGCCATCCACCAGCATACTTCCAAAACACTCTCACAGTCAAGCTTCTGAGATGTTAAATAGGAAAGTGCTGCCACTTTTTTGCAAAAGTGAGGTCAAAGGAAGAATCTGTTTACTTATTTCATGGGAACAAAATGTACCTTGGTGACTGCTGTCACAGTTGCCCAACACGTCGTCCTATGCATCAACAGCCTACTTGAATGATGGCATCTCAGTGGAATGCGTCTCTGTTTTTGAGAATTTTGTCTGGCATGGTGGAGAGTGTCTGGAGTTGACAGGATACTGTATCTCCATCTGGCTCAAATCACCTCCATCACAAGTTATTCTAACCCTCCAAGAACACCCTCCTTTCCCCCAAACCCCCCTCCTGCTCAACCATCCCTATCACTTCGTGCACAACAACATGCCGTTCTTCCCTCAGAGGCCTTCGGGTGCCCCCCTTCCTGCCCTGACTCCTCAGGCCTGGTCAGTGTTTCCACCTGACGCTGCCTCTGCCCGGCAAGCTGCTGACAGCCAGTCCACCTGCAGTCAGAAATCACTGAGTACGTATGGAGGCAGACTAGGAGCCGAGTATTTGGAAGATCCTACCTACTTGTATGCACATGTAAACATCCTGGTTAAAGAAATCTACAGTACAGTACAAGTGCAATACATCGACCCCATGTCATTCCCACCAGAGCTCTGCTAAGCTTCAAGAGGTCTAATATACTAATAAGAGCCCAAACAATAAGCCACGGCATTAGATGAGCATTGCTAACAGTCTACTGCTGCTCAAATTCTACCGATATCTTAAAAAAAACTTCTTTCTTGTCCTGTTCCAAACTGACACATGAGCAACCCCAAGAGCCTTTTCTCCAGCAGAAATGACCATGAAGGTTCAGTTGAACCAAGCAAACTGTTTAACCCTCTGTATCTCTAATGGAGATGCTCAGTGGTCAAAATGATGTTAATGTTGTAACTTTACAGCTTCCAAGGATGAATGTGTGCAACTGTGAAGCAGGGAGCTGAAAAGAACATAATGTACATGGCAAAAAAAGTGGTCCCGACTCATGAGCAGGTGGAGGACAAAATGACTGCGGTCTTCCTGTTTGACAAACCTTCAAACTGGACTTCTTGGTTGATAATCTCCTAAATATACTTTATAGCAACACACCCACACCAGTACAGAGCCCCAAAGTTGTTTGCTTTAGTGTTGTTGTCAGACTAAAGGCGCCATTAAGCCCTGTAGATTAATACAATGAACACTGTTGTGACCTGGCAACCTTTAATTCAACGATTCCGCCGTCAGATAAACCGTCTGATACATTGTGGGGCATTAATGGGAAATTTAATCATGAAATGTGACTTTTTGGGAACACTGTGCCAGCAGACGAGTAAAACATAACACAAAGAGCCACTTCATGAACAACCTCTCCAAATGTCAAAAAGACTATGGCAACTGACATTTAGTTGAATGTAATTCATACATTTTATTTGTGCTAAACAGAGGTAATTATGTTTGAGACAACATCAATGCCATGTTAGCCAATGCCGCCAGTGTAATAAAGCTTCTGATGTAAAGGTCAGACTGAGTGGGTAGGTAGTCCGCCCACATCAGAATAGCTCACATTCTCCCTCATGCTAAGTAGTTAGCCTCTTAACTTGTAGCTGGAGTGGAACTTTGCAGTACTGCAGTCTGATCAAGCAGTCACAAGCAGGATCTCCCAGAAATCACAGGGAATATTTATATGCAGGGTGCAGTGAGCACTTAGCAGCTGGTTAGCCACAAGTCAAGCAGTTGGAAACCACCAGGTGAAAAATACTGCTGACAAAAACCATCTTATCTGAAAAGTATGCAGTGAAGGACGTAATGGGGCCCACATGTTACCATTCAAAATAATGGAGGTATGTGAGTTACAGATTGTTGCTAATTACATGATTGTTTGCCATGCTAGCAGCGTGGCTATGAAGATAGCTTTGTCGGTCGGTCCAAAACTTTTTCCTCTAGCACCGCTAGACATTTGTGGTTTTGACTGAAACATCATCAGGCTTAGCTGTACTTTTTGTTTAGTTCTAACACAGTCCTTATAGGCAAGTCAGGCCACTCGGCCGCCATCTTGGACTAACAAGACCGGGCTCCTGAATAAGATCTGCAGTAAAATCTAATAAAAATTGCTGTAAAAGTTTGACGGCTTTGCCCCAAAATAAGGTTTAAAAAGTGTGTTTCCCGACCGGTTATACTTTTACTGGTGTAGAAGTAAAAAACAGACCCTTACGTCAGTGGAACCACACGATTGGCTGAAATATATTTCCTGCTTTGG